TTCAACAAATTTTCGTGAAAATTTTAAAACTTAAATAAAAAACAAGTTCTTTTTTGGTATGTAGTTTTTAATGCCATTAAATTTCAGTACTCGTAATAAGGTTAAGACTCAAGTTTCTAAGGATGCGTTCACACAGAGGGCCGATCGGCGCCGAGCGAAGCAAGGTGGAACAAGGCGAAGCTGCTGGTGTTCACTCAGTATGAAGCGAAGCGGAACTTTTCTGATGGACTCTGCTGGAAAGATACCACAAAAATTACCGTCAATGAAACGCGGCAAAAATATTTGCTCAATTTTATTCAAAAGTTTAGTCGTAAAATTTTTTTTTGTTTGAATATTTTGATATCTTGTTTGCAGCCGCGCCATGAAGCTCAAAAATTAAATAGAAAATTCAAAATCAACAGCTGCTTTGCTTTCCGCACCAAAACGCTTCTGAAAAAGTTTGCTGTATGAACACTTACATATAGCTACAGCAATTTGAAAGCTTCACTTAACTCGCAACAGCTTCGCTCGGCTCGGCTCCGCTTTCTGTGTGTGAACATACCCTAAAAGTATCATATTCTTAGTTGTAGAAATTACGCATTTGCTTTCATAGGTGTGTTCGCCTAATAAAAAACAAAACAAATTTTGGTGGAAATTTGTTAAATTTTTATGATTTGTGTACAAAGACTTAGGGCCAAATTCACAATTTTTGTACTGAAAATCTGTAGTCAACTGCCGATTCTGAGTTAACTACGCACTGTGAATTTGATCCCTAAACTTTAATTTGTTAGGTTTTTGTTCTAGAAGTAAATAGAGTTTTGTAAAAAAAATTGTTAAAATTAAATAAAAAAAGGAAACTGAATTGCAAAAACTTGTCAATATTTCGAGCTACTATGTTTGAGAACACTGCTACTTATACATATGCATCTTTGTTTTTTAGTAGACTATCGATTTGATTATTTGCACTGTTTATTTGCTTAATATAAACTGATGCCTTATCTATAAACATTAGACACCATAAGTATGTAAGGCTTTTAGAGCACATAAACTGATACGAGCAGCATAATTATAATTATAGCATTTTTTGTTAGATTTTTGTTTGTAAAATTGGTTATTTTTCGGATCTAAGACAGAAATTCGCACACAAAAATTAGAAATGTACTTTATGTACCGTTATTTACCTTAAAAAGTCTGCTGAATTTCAAGCCATTTCGTATATGTACGAGCACATTTCGAAAGTATGTACATTTTGAGAGTAAGTACTTATTATTTTTACTTCACTTATCATCAAAAACTAAGCGCTAGGAAAATTAGTTTCTGCAATCACCGCTTTTAATTAGTCAATCGATAAGTTTGCAACCCAACAAGCGTATACAAAGTTTTTTAGCGCTACCGACCAAAAAGTTTTCCAGCTAAATAAAATCACAAATTAGGCTGAACTAATTTTTAATTAATATTAAATTCACAAATTATTAGCGGCTGGATTGGCAGCTAAAATGCCTCAGCCAACGATAACTGTAGGGCACGGTATATTACTTTGCGACTATCTAGGGGTGTGCGCGCGTCAATATCAGCCGCGTATTCACCTTTGCGAGCACTTGATCACAATGCGTTTCAAGCGATTCATATCAGCAAAGCGTTGCCCATCGAAATAAATAAATATGTACATATGTATCGACATATATATGTACTAAATACATATATGTATATATATAGGGATGTAGATGCATTTGTGTGCTTGTAGTTTGTGTACTTGTTTGTTATACTACAAAGACCATAAAACAATCAGTTGTTAACAACAACAACACCTTCATACCTTCTCCCACTTATTTTATTTTATTTCTTTTTTCAATTATTTCGCTCTGATAATGTACAGACAAGTCGATTATTCTGTTCTAAACAATATTTACGTTGAAATTTCTACATTCATACATATGTATTAGGCTGGGTCGATTTTGTATGGGAGAAAATAAAAGTCATTTGACCGCATTGTAATAGTAATATTATGATGTCTTAGGCCTCAGCCAATCGTTATTGGCCACGAAAGATTAATTTAAAACTTATCTTTAGCCCGCGCAATTGAATCAAAGTGTATGAATTTTGTAAATGAAACTTTGGCTTGTAATATCTATGGAATGCGTTATTGTTATATACAAGACGATGTATCAAATTAAGGGCTATTAAATTTAGTACCTCACGTTCATTTAGCATTTTTCAATAAGTCTACACGTTTTTAAGATATTAAGATAAAACTTACAAAAACTATAATCTTCCCTTATGAATTTTCAATTCTTCATTACTTCAGCAACCAAGTGAAAAATACAAAAAAGTGAGACGAGATTTATTTCAAGCCTTTTAATGTTTTCGGATGTTTATATAATATTAAAATGGCCATGGACTTGGTCACGCCGATTTGGTCAGTTTTCAAGATCGTGGTGAATGAATGTATTGTCAAAGATTAGGAATCGTTCGACAAGTTAATAGTAGTTTCAAACATATAAGTATTTACATACATTACAATTAGAGTGAGAAACGCCCATTTTGAGTCCATTTTTTCACATTTTTCGCCGGTTCTAAATTTGCCGTTATATGAAAGTAGGGGACGTGCAATAAGTGTTTAGATATACATAAATATTTTAGTTAATTCCATTATGTGAAAAAGTGTCTGTAGGTAAATGCAATAGTTTTCAACATATCCTGGGAAATCCTTTTGAGGACTCTCCAATTGGACGATATTGCTTTGCATTCAGCTTGAACGAAAAAAGTCACTCGCTGGCACAGTTTTCTGTAATCCGGTTCTTTTATTTAAAGGTTATTTATACAATTGAAGAGAAATTTTTTTAGAAAAAAACTGGAAATCCACTTAAGTTTTTCGATATAACTTTGGTAAATGTTACTCGATCGGTGCGTAATAATTAACAAATTGAAGGCGAGACTTAATGTTACTGATTTTTGATAATAATATGACTAAAATAGTTCAGATTATAAACAAATTATTTTAAAATAAAAAAAATCTTGAACAAAATTTTTTATCATTTTCTTATATTTGCAATTTTTATATTGTATGCATAAACATAAGTAAACCAATTAGTGTTTCCAGAAGTTGTGCCTGTTCAGTGTTTCCATACTAATTTGCATAAACAAAATTTTTCCGCGATGATGGAAAATAATGGCTATTCTATTAGAGCTACCGAAATTGTTCCTAAATTTGCAAAAAATCGCAAACTATAGCTAATATTAAAAAAGGATTAGAATATTTGGAACTAGCGATCTAAATGCACGCCAGCAATATTAATGTTGTTCTTTACATCTTTTGACTATAGGCCAGTGCAATTATCAAGAGAACAATTAAAATTTTCTTGAAAATAGATGAGTTTGAGATTAACGATAAGATAAAGGGCAGCGCGAAATGATACTTGCCTTTATCTTTTGCGTTAAAGGATTCATTATCTAATAATATGCACCAAAATTTTTGGCTAAACCCAGAATTTTTAACAAGAATTGGTCTTATTCGACTAGTGTGCTGTGGGTCACTTGGCGGTCGATGAGGGGCTCTTACAATTAAAATGGAAGACTAATATTTCGCAGGCTTGTTGTTGACTTCATGATACAATATATTTTCACTATTACCAAGGGATTTGAGAAAAATTAGATTTTCGACCCGCCCTAATATGTATGTACATATGTTTGTACGTGCATCCCAATAGAACTTGAAAGGAGAACTCTCAAAGTGAGGAATAAAAGAGTACTCCCTTTGGCATGATTTCGTAGCAACAAGTGAGATTTTTCAGTTTTGTACTCCATAATTACTCACTTAACTAGGCATGGCAGTTCTCCTAAGCGAGCAATATAAGAATGCTCTAGGAAGTAAAGTGATAAATGCGGGAACACTCTTTTTACATGAGATGGGAGCTATACGCACTTCATTTAAAATAAATTTTGCATTCTTAGAAAAGGTTATCATAGAAAAAAATGTTGAAGATGAGCAAAATGCCACCTTCACATTGATAAGCATATAATTAAAAATTTTAATAAATGGACTATGCCAAAATGTTTTACCAAATGTAAAATGTTCCTTATAAATCAATGTTAGCTTGGGAGAATAGAAGCGTTCTTTTTTAACTCGCTTAAGAGGTTTGTGGAATTATTTTGGGAGGACTCTATTGAGTCCTTTGAGAGGAATGCAAAATATTTATTGTGTGCACTCCCTCATTGTTTGTTTCGTAGGTCTGTGTGAAGTTATTCTGAATTCACTTTCTTATTGCTCGTTTAGGAGTTTCGTGGTATGATATTTCCGTTTGTAGTCCCTCAATGCTCTTTTGGGGGTTAAAAATAGTCGCTGACCGTCCTAGGATAACCCATGTTAACGGTAGTATACTAAATAGCACGCTTATACTCAGAAGTATGTATAGGGAGCAATAACGAGTAATCGTTGCCTCGCAAGGAAGTACTCCCTTAGCAATTGTACGATGCTGCCAAGTTCCACTGGGATATTTTTGCTAGCATTGCTGTATTTACATATGTTTATAGTATGAACGTTGCCTTATAGATTGAGTTTTTGTTGTTTTGGTTGCTTTTTGGGCGAAAATTAGCACTAAAATATTAGATTAGCATATGGTATTGCAGCTAGCGAACGGTGAATAGTGCGTCATTTTATGAAATGTGTGATTTGATCAAAAGCAGTGGACAATAAAATTTCGACATTAGGTTATATGTTCAAGGATGCATCGATATAGTAACGCCAAACCCATCGAGCTTGAAATAAACCATTAATTATTTGGATAGAACACTGATTTTGCCAAAAAAGTCCAAAGTTTATAATATTTCATTTCGAAGTTGAGCAGACGCCCACTAGGATAATGCCTTATTTTCAGTACGGGCTCCTTATTATGTTTTTGTATGTACATACAACTGCAGTTATTTATATGTTGGGAAACTGGGCCACTGTTCTATAACTTGATTTGCCAAATGCAAATTCAAATATGGGTTTGGTAGTGCTTTGGATTCCGTTAGACACTTACTTATTTCAAACAATAGGTGACGACCGGTGAGCACATCATACGTTGCTGGCGAGAAATATGAAGATTCTGTAAAGAAAACATTGGTGAAATGAAAAGGTAATGAAAATTTTTTTACAGATGGGTACTAATAAGTACATACATATGTATGTATAGTACATGGTATATAAGTAATTATTATGTAAAACATAAAACAGAGGTGAGATGAAAATTACTATTAATTAAATGGAAAAAATTAAAGCATACTTAGTAAAAAAGCATTTTTCATGCGAACAATACTAAATGCATCTTCGATTATTTCCTCTTAGTAGCGTATTTTGAACTCATTTTGTCGTATTGCAAAGCATAGCGCTCATCTGACCTGCTGCGTGGCGCCGCACCCTGCCATTTGGGATATACTGCATACATACATGAGTACATATTAAGGTATGTAGGCACCAGATTAGGGTCTGGTGGGGCGATTGTATGTATGTAATTGTAATTGTTGTTGTGCAAAAATAAGAACACATTTTAAATTTAGTACATGATGAGACCATTTCGTCACATAGCCAACTGTACATATACATAAAACCACACAAACAGGCAACAGCTGCTCGATTTAGTGGTTTGCGAATTGTCGGACGCAGTGCCGCTCTCACACACCAACATTCCTATTACTAAGATGTCCGTTGAATTTAGAATTTCCCCTACTAGTTCCGCTACGCTCCGTAGATGTGTAAATATTTACGAAAACGAAACAGTCCAACCATGAAGAGCACAGGTGGCCCAGTGGCAGCACAAATATGACGCCAGCATTGGGATTCTGACTCTGCTACTAGACACCTGAACTTTTAATACTTAGCGCTGGTTTCTTATGGGTCTTATGGCTCTACAGGATTGAAAAAAGGAGCTCAACTTACGAAAACTTTGATTGCACTACAATTGTACATATGCATATGTACATACATACATATATGAATGTTGACAAATACCTATGCACCCTAAAGTGTACGTTGGGCTTGGTTGTTATTAATAGTGTTATTGGTGGTGGCGCGTACTTTGCATAGGCTAATTAAAGCTCTTAACTACTGCTGGGCCAGTCATTGCCGCCACACAATTCGATACCAATAGAACCACCACCACCACCACCCCAAATGGCCGACCAAGTCGCCTTTGTGAATGCCAAATATGTTAACATACCTGCTGATATAGCTTTGCATCTCAATGGTATTCCTTGAATAGTCGCAACATCAGTAAATTATAGCCAATACGCAAATAAATTTACTAATCAAGGTATTTGCACAATTCCTTGCAAAGCAGCTCAACAACAAAAAATGTAAACAATTTTTTTTCTCCACCTCACAGAAACACAACACCGCACAAAACTCTACAATTTTTCACGTTTCTTACGGCGCCCGACTTGCACACTAATTACGACCGCTGCCCGACCACTTATTTGAATGGAAATGTGCTAATTCAAAGTGAAAAATTAATTTTTTCCCATTAGAAAATTACTGAAATCGAATTAACAACTTTGAAAGGCGATTATTGATTTCGTTTGGTAGATGACAGCTGACAGCTGAGCGCTATTAATTACCCAAAATGCAATAGCCTCAACCGGTTTGGGTTATTTATGACATATGGGACTAACGGAAACGGTTAGGGACCAAATTAACAGTTTTATTTGGGACTTTTGTGTGGATTAGAAGATAAATCAGGCGCGACATCTATGTAGTTGGGCTGAAAAATGCGGTTTGAGAATTAGATTAAGTTGTATTCAATGTTGCCACACGTTAACTTTTCCTAACCAATTTGGTAGGTTTTTTCTATTTAGTAGGTTGGTAGGCTATATTGGATTTTGGATTTGCAAATATTCTTGGCGGAAGTCTTCGCAATCGAAGTTTGTGTTCGAAAATGTCTTCCTAAATGGAAAAATAAGGAAATAGGGCTGACTGTCTTGCAAAGCGTGGCCCTAAATGCGCCTGCATGGTTCCGAGCCTTCCTGTAGAACTACTTAGAAACTGGGAAGAATCTCAGATTGCTCCACACTGGCGGAGTTCAAAGGGAATAAGACAATGAAATGGATCCATAACTGCTTCCAGGAGGAACTCCGAAAGTCGGGAAGGCCTTAGAACTCTTAATGACTACCTGACAGGAGACTGCTAGTTAACGAAACCCAAGAGGATATGAATTCTTCTGCCCACTTATCATAAATAGCAGACTGATGCACCTTGGAAAACGATTTTCTCCTCCATCCAAAATTTGGAACATGGCATCCTCCAAAGTGCTTAACTTCTTAAATAGTCTAATAATAATAATAGAGACCCGTAAATTTGTACAAATCTGTACAGTAAAATCAATTATTATTCGGAGTTAATTTGTTTTTATTGTAATAGATCTTTTATAGTTTTATTTAATGTTAAAAAATATTTAAAACTCAAAAGAATGTTGGTATGTTTTGGTTGGTTTTGTTAGGAAATTTTGGTAGGGAAAAAGATTTGTCCGTGGCAACACTGGTTGTATTACCATATTTTCTAACCGAACGCAATATTGAAAAATGGCGTTTTTTGTCAAATAAACATTTATAATAAATTGTTCTCATAAAAATCGATTCGGCGCGCACGCTAACAATTGCAGAAATGTTCATGAAATTATCGTATGCAAGGGTCTATTAAATAAATCCACAGTGACACCCTGTCTTTACGAAACCGGAAACACGCTCACATGACAGTCCAAAATGAAATTCAATCGCGATGCCGTTATTTTAGCGCTTTTGTAAATTGATCAGAAACATGTATTACTTTCGGTAATTTGTACTTACAGACGTACATAAATATGTATGTATGTATGTGCAAATTTAATTCTATTAATTATTTGAATAGAGAAATAAGAACTAAATTTTTACACTGCAGAAGACATTCAGCAGAGGGGAATCGCAACAGGAAATATTTGGAAATCCAGTGATGAGCCACTTAACAGTAGAAAGGAGTTGTGGCTCTTTTCTGGAGGGTTGCGATATGCATATTTGCAGCATGATGATAGAACCTTTACTTCTCCATTAACCAGTGGTGAGACATGAGTGTTTACATTAGGAAGGCGCGCACATTATCCAAAAATCATAGAAAACGTTTCTAGTAACAGAGGTCTTCGCTCAGTAGGCAATGCCAATTTTTTAAGTAACCTTCTTCATAAATAAACTCCTAATGAAAACCCATTTCGGGGAGGGAAGGAAATTGTAGAGACTTACATTTGTTTTAAAACTGCAGGAACACACTACAATTTAGAGTGGAAGCTCAGTTGATTGTGAGTGACGAAAGCGACGGAGCAGACCAGATCGCTAACGTATGCGGATGGCTTCTTAGTCTGCGGTGCCATGTAGTTAGTTTCTGTATGTGCTGCTTCGGCAGTGTCGTTGTTTTTGTTGTTTTTGCAGCGGCACTACTAAGCCCAGCCTATTTGCGTTCATCCTTCAATCATTGTTGCCAAGCTCAACTAACGGTAGGCCCTGGAAACGGACAGTTTGAATAGGGTCGAACCACAGGGAGAGGGGTATTAGTTGAGTGGAATTGAGCTGGCATGTGAAGAGGTGGTTGGTGTCGTGCGGCGAGGGGAATGTTTGCGTGGTTCACTGTCGGAATTGGTGTGCCATCGACGTGAATGCCTAATTGAAGCCTGGTCTTCTTCATACAGGTGTTGAAGAGGGTCGCCGTAAATTTCGTTGGGGATGGTGTTAAGCTCCTTGCAGTGCAGAAGCGACAAAGTCCAGAGAGATAGCCGTCTACTTTTGAGCAGAGGTCATCAATTCCATTCCCATTCCGGATTGATTGAAAATATCTGTATTTATTGCGATTACAATTTATGTTACACGTGGTATGTACTTTAGCCAAGAACTTATTAGCATGTAATTATAGAGATCCAACCTATTGCTGCGTTTACAAAATACATGTAATATTATATGATACATTATTATGCTATGTGTTCACTCATATTCAGCCGATGCTAATCTGTTACATTATTAGGTTGTGTTCACACCTCTTGTACATATTAGAGATAGTAGCCTTGAATGCCGTCTGACTTTAAGTATGGATTGGAATGATCTCATTGCAATTATTTTTTTACTTAAGTTAATCAATGTAGCAGTGGTATAGATTTCTGCTTCCGGAATTGGCCCATACACACCAAAAGCCTAATCCTGGGACCTGATGCCTTCTGAGGTCATGAAACCATCTCTGTACCACTGCAGAGTAAGTTGCTGAAAAGTTCCTACGGCTATGACACCCGCTTATCAAAGGCGATTGCTTGAAGTTCGTCCACTATTAGGTTTAACAGGAGATGTTGTTTGTAACTGTACCAGGGTGATTCCCAGTTAATATTTCAGCAATATTCGTTCGAAGCAGTTAAGTTATTTATCTGCGTTCAGTTGGCTGCGAATTTCGTTTCTCTAATTTCTATTTACTGTTAGAAGTGATGTTTAATCTTGCATGCATATATGTACATGGAAAACAAATCTTTATTTGATGAAAGACCACACCTAGTAGAACACGACTGATATTATCGGGTCTTCTTTACTGACTAACAGGCTGTGAGAGTGAAACTATTATTTACTTATTTTTAGTAACAACTCTAAAAGTTAAGGACTCATCAACATCTGTATGCATGTAGATGTGTATATATGTGTATATATGTGTGCACATATAATTTTATGGAAATTTAAAAATGTCATAATTTCTTACACACCCCAGTCATTACAAATTAACGAAAGCTCTTACTAGTCACGAAACTAAACACTGCATATACTAGTCAATTCAGTGAAGATAATAAAAAAATATAGCAACACTAAAATTAAACTCAGCCAGTGGATCTTTTGAAGTGCCGACAAACGTATAAAAAGTTGAATGGAAAAGTCGAATGATCTCAGTGATCGCGAAGGCGTTCCCAAAAGATTTAATTTATAAAGCACAATGAGTGCTTATCGGCATGATGCATTTGTACGCATGAGTTTATATTTGTTAAATACTATCTACTGATTTTAACTGAAAATAACGACGACTTCTTGCTGGTAGTGTAAAATTTTCGAAGACTACTCTGCTCCGGAAAACCTTTTAAGAACTATCAACCATCATAGTCTCTAAGATCCGATTTCCACCTCTTGGGAGAGACCGTTTAAGAGAATTCACTGAAGGCATCTCCTCCGCTCCGGAGGCAGCCAGACTTCACAGAGCTTTAACTAAAGGCACAGTTGAAAGCCTAAAGCTCCCAGACGACTGTAACACCAAAAGCGACGAGGAAAGGGCTCTAGCCTCCTCTAAGGAGCATCGGCTCCGGTACGAAAAAAACAGCAAAACGTCTTGTTGGCTATACGATGGGCTATAAATTCGTTTGAGCCTTACAAAGTTCCTGGAGCGGACGGCCCATGGTCGATTCTACTTCAGAAAGAGCTGGATCTATTAATCCCAATTCTAACCAATGCCTGGCGGGGAAGACTGTCACTGGCATATCTACCACAAGCGTTTTCTGAGGCATTGAAGAAGCTTTTAACTAAATGTCACACGAGGCAGTGGATCGAGCTAGATCAATGCTACGTATCAGACTGGCGAAGACGGCAGCAGGAAATAAGATCATACAACTCAGAACAGTAAAAGTCTGCCCTCAATGGGTGTATTATCCCCTCTGCTGTGGAGCATATCAGTAGATGAACAAAGGCTTAATGTACCAGGGATATGCGAACGACATAATAATTATATCAACAAAGATTACTCATTATATTAAAGAGATGGTGAAGCATGGTGAGTCTAAACATCAACGCTGCAAAAACAACTCATTCACCAGGATAATAAATCCTGCAGGCATTCACCCTATACCACCCGGAGGTATAAAGATAGGGTTGCCAGATTGTTTATGCGCGAAATCAGTACGTTAGACTTTTCCATGCTAAAAAAATCAGTAATTTTCAGTACATTTTTATTCAAAGCAAAATTATGAATGTAAGTAACAGAAAATACTTTAAAACGACTGAATTCTTGTTTTTAACAATATTTTGGCATATAAATAAAATATAGTTAGTAAAAAAGAAAAGTGTTATTAATTTTTAAAATGAGTGTACACATCATTATACACAGGAGTCAATAAATTATTTTATATGTAGTGTTTAAATAGTCAAAGAATTATATACATTTCATTTTAAATTACTTTTAATTT